GCTGTACATTCCCCGGGACGATGGTACCCTGCCACCCGTCCACAGCAAGCTGTACATTCCCCGGGACGATGGTACCCTGCCACCCGTCCACAGCACGCTGTACATTCCCCGGGACGATGGTACCCTGCCACCCGTCCACAGCAAGCTGTACATTCCCCGGGACGATGGTACCCTGCCACCCGTCCACAGCACGCTGTACATTCCCCGGGACGATGGTACCCTGCCACCCGTCCATAGCACGCTGTACATTCCCCGGGACGATGGTACCCTGCCACCCGTCCACAGCACGTTGTACATTCCCTGGGACGATGGTACCCTGCCATCCGTCCATAACACTGACGCATCTCTATACGCCATACAGTCCGGCGTTTCTCAGCCCAGTCCTCAGGGACCCCCAGTCTGTCCACTTTCTTGCTCCCAACACACCTGTACCAGGTAATTCAATGTGCTTGATTGCTTGCTTGCTTGGTTCAGGTGTGCTGTGAGCCAGGAGGGAGCAAAAATGTGGACTGTTTTTGGAGTCTCTGAGGACCGGATTGAGAAACACCGCAATAGTCCACAATCATTAGCACCATTAGAGCACAGCAGTCCCAGGCACAGGGCATTAGCTAATTTAGCACTGAACAACAAAATAAAACACAAAGCTCTCGTGAACCCTATGGTGACACCACCACACGGGAATACCAGGCTGAGTCAGCCCCAAAATAGGGGGGCGGGGCACGTAGTGACCATGTGACTCGGACTTTGTTGGAGATCCCAGGGGATGGTGATGGCAATGCAGACAGAAGGAAAGGAGATCTTTCAGGATTATATAACAACCCAAGTGGCGCTAAAGACAGAGGAAAGGACGGGTGGAGATGGAGAAGCAGGCAGGCTTACCTGGAAGAAGCCAGGGGGCATGGGTCCGCCGGGCATGCCGTCGTTAGGGGGCATGTTGCCCATCACCGGACTGGGGGCGGCGGCGGCACTCTGAAACATAGGAAGATACAGGTGAGTATGGTGCTCGAGGGCGACGGGACGACGGGCGCCCGCGAGAGTCCCCTGAGGGTGACGAGAAGCCGCTCGGTGTTCTCAGCTGGCCTGCAATCCGCTGCTCGGTCACACAACCGAGAGGCCGCGAAGTTCACAAAAAGTTACATCATATTCGGCGTTCTGTGAGGGGCACTAAAAGTAGGTCAGAAACAGAAGGAATTAATCTGTGTATTTATGGCCGTTTGTGTAACGGGGGAACGAAGGCGGGAGGGCGTCAGAAATCTTCCGAGCGGAGAGACGGACACGTTCGCGGCTACTGCTTGCATCCCTGGTCCGTTTCTGCGCCGGGCGCCGAACGATCAGCTCCTCTGCTACCACAGACCTAAAGAGGGCCCGAGCCCTGACAGCGCGGGGCCCAGACGCTCGGCCCCAAGCGGGCAGATCACGGTAACACCCAGGGTCTGCTCCGAGGGACCAGTGAAGGACTGAGCGCCAGGGCTCAGCTGCTCCCAGGAGATCAGCACGCTTAGCGGTAAAGCCCCAGGGGCAGAAGACACAGGACTATAACCCTCTGTATCACTCGACTGGACACAGCAGCTAGCGACTCTAAAATTAACACCAGCAATTAACACTCGGGTGTACCCTACAACTGACGCGCTTCCGATTTACATACTCGGCATCTTCAGCCAGACAGAGCCACGCTTGAGTCATTTCTCAATATCTACTCCCTGACCTCAAACCCACACAGCTACTGCACAAATACCACCGCCCATCCACACGGATATTTTCAGCTCTGGGCTGATGGAGCGGATCCTTGTCGCGGATATGAGATGTCTCGGGAGCGTATTAAAGGCGAGTCCGGAGTGTTTGTTTGGCGTTCCCTGTGCCGGTGATGCAGGGCAGGACTCGGCCGCGTCTGACCTTCTTGGTCTGCGCATTAACGAGCCGCGACACTCAGGGAAACCCAAGCCGTGACCGATGACATCATGCCATGACAAAATTTCCACAAGTTATACCCATATAATTTCAATTTTAATCAAAAGGTACTGTGGCATCCCAGAAGTTCGAAGAGAGATTTTAATTAACGTGACACTTCTAGGGGACTATTGATATATAATTAGTAGCCCACTAATAAGAAATAACATCTTAAATCTCACACAATCTGCAAACCATCTCCCGCACATGAATCTTTCTCGGCCTATTTCCCGAAACAAAGACGGGGAATGTGCTGCGAATATAACTTCTCCACGATTCCGGTGCATGTTTGGCTCTTTATTTTGGATCCACAGAGGCACAGCTGCACACCGTCTTCCTGGAAGCCTCCCGGAGCTGTGGGAGGAGCCGCGAGCGCGGTATGCTTGTTTGGTCGGGGGAGAGGGCTGCTAAATGAGGTTTGTCAGCACTTATTTACTCAACGGCTGCTGTTAGCTCAGTCCAACGGGGTGCCTGTCATCTTCCTGCAGTGTTATTTAGGTTACCAGGCATTAGGAAAGTGCTGGGCCTGGGTGGGGGAGGGCCGTAGGGTGGGTGGGGGAGAGGCCGTAGGGTGGGTGGGGGGGAGCAGTCACAATAGGGTCAGAGACTTGGGGGTGCCGGTGAGGTGGTCTAGCCCATCCGAGCAGTAACCGTGTCCACGTGCTTAACAGATAGACTTCAAGTGTACCGACTAGGAAGTCCATCAGAAAGGCATCGCCAACCAGCAATTGAGGCGACACGAGCAGACAGACAGACAAATATTTGGGCCTGTGGGCTTTTAATCTAGGGCAGTTCATTAGAAGGCTGATCTTTATACCCATAGCGGGCGATCGGCACCCCCAGCAGGAAGGACGGCAGAGCGACTGAGCTGGGGAGCCCCTCGCCAAGCACACGGCTGGCCGAGCAGCCAGCCAGCGAGACTCCGCTCGACTCAGGTAAAGCAGTGCGGGGCCCTTTTCTTCTTGTTGCCATGACAACCCCGACCTGAGTTCTCCCTCTCCAGTGCCCGTTAAAACCCTCAGGCCGTCAATCATCTGCCGGCCACAGAGAGAGGGAGGAAAAAAAAGAGGGAAAGAAGGAGGGAGTTTAAAGGAGCCCGTGGATTTTAGTTGCTTCCCCCCCTTACAGCTTGCTCTCCTTCCGCCGATGCATGGGTGCGCTCCACGTCCCTGGGGGGGTTAACCGCTTAAACTTCCTCAGAATAATGGCAATCACTCCAAAGAAATGTCTCTTTTTTTCATAATCTCCAGTTAGATGGACAGGTGTCTTCCCATTAAGTATTCACTGTTTATCCATCCAACTGTGATATGAGCAGATCACAATCGATAAAACAATGCTGGGATTGGGGAGGGATTCCCAGTGCGCGCTTCTCAGCCTTCCTGACCACACCGCTCAAGACGCAGTGGAAATGGTGCTCCGGTCCAAGGGGCTGTCAAACTGTTTCCTGTGTGCTTGTTTCAGCCCAAAGCAGCCATCCAAACTAATCTGGTAAGAAGATCTGCAGACATTAATAATCATCCATTATGCAAAAGACGATGCAGCAGGAAACGTGTCGAGTACAGGCCCAGAGCAGCCCTGAGATATCCATTTGGGAACGTGAACTCATACTGCCATTTAGGAGACGGTCAATCACACAGAGAACAACCAAGCAATGTTCAATCAACCCCCAGGAAACTGTTTAAAAACACTTGGGGGGGGGGGTTAATTCCCCTATTACCAAAGCTTCCAAATAGAAGCCAAGAAACCTCTTTATGGTCAGGACATTTTTCCTAGACCCTAAAGACACAACCCAAGAAGTGAGTGTAAGTGACTCACCTTCCCCCAGAGCCTGTGTCAGAGTCACGATGGCAGGGTCGATGAAGGAGGACCGTGTGGGCCCGTTCTGCCACGGCACGCATAGGTCCCCGGTTAAATTAAGCTCATTTCTCCGATCTCTGTACCCGGCAGCCGCATTCCACGCCACGCGACCGCTGTGCCCCCCGGTGCCCCCTCAGCCCCCGGAGGGGCCCCCGCTCCAACTGAGGCAATAATTCTGTCACTGCGGTCCACTCCGCGAAGATTATCTGGGGAGGCTGGAATGCGTAATCGGGCTGCTGCCTGACAGATGTGCCTTTTGATCAATGGGAGAGCAGCCCGGCATGAAACCCAACTCCGAGCGGCACGGCACGGGGAATCCCTCCGTGACAGCATGGGGGGGCACGGGGGGGACTTTTCATTCCCATTCCCCACTCGGCTCTGTCTTTCCGAGCAGCTGTCGTATCAATCAGGTGAATTAATTACCAGTAAACAAACTGGCCCTCAATTCCCACTCCCTCGGGGTCCCAGGAATGTAGACCCCGCACCCGTGCTGTCTTCTGGGGCCATTCGCCTCCTCAGGGGCGAGACTCCAAATGCACATGGAATCCACCTTGGTGGGGGGGGAGGGGGGGTTAAAGCTGTCCGTTGTTAACACTGCGTCCTCGTTATGTGCCCGCTGTAGTGGCCTGTGTTGTTTACTAAGGACACAAAACATTCTGAAATGAGCAGACTTCAAATAGTAAAGTACATCAACAGACCTAGAACTCCATAACATTGCGCAATCTAATGGTGCTTTTCTACTGCCGCCAGGAACCGACCCGTATCGCGAATTGGCGGTTTTCCATCGCAATGTAGGCAAGCCGTACTCGAGCTGCCCTGGCACTGCTTACCAAAAAGAAGGGCATATGTTATTCATTGTTAGTAGTATCGTACATCTCGATGTACTAGTGCATTCCTGATAACTTGGAACCTGAAAATTTCCAACTTCCTAGAATCGACAGGAGTCGTCCACATTCGCCGAAAACTGCTGTTGACCAAGGAAATTTCATAAACAGCACTGTGCAAAACATGGCTCTATACACCTCTAACATGAACCCTGCTCCATGGAATACGATGTTACAAGGTGCGCTACGTCTGGAAGATTTCCGGTATCTAGAGGCACTAAAATGTTTACGTGTTTTTATGCTTTATCATGCAAAATATACTCAGTGGAGGCAGACATTTGAGGTATATCTCAATAAGGACACTAGGGGACTCTCTTACGGAGTGGGTCGGGCTTCCAGGACGCCGGGCACTACGTGAGGAATTATGCCAGTGACACTGCTGGCCCATCGACTTGACGCCAAATCTCTGTGGCAGGTTATCACTCCGAAACACACAGACGCAGCGGGCATCTGCGCCCATCAAACACCGTTTGAGGCGGCTGCCTCCCCGGGGCTCCTCGGGTACGGAGTCTCCGGTCAGCGCGGCACGTGGGAGCTGCCTCACAAAATCCGAGTCTTATCTTAGGGCCGGAGATAATCCCTTCCTAAACCCGGGGCTGCCACCGATTAGGCTTCTGAGAGGACGACACAAACAAGCCCGAGCAAGGTGTTTTGAACATCTGGAAGGGGACTGAGCCGTGGCGCTCCACACACGTACTCAGCAGCTCCCCCTGGCTGCGGCGAAGGGCACTACACCAGGGTCAGGGTGCCCGGTGTGTGACAGGTGTGTGCACATGCACAAGCGGCCCGGGTGAACTCTGCTCTCCGGGCCTGCGTTGGCTAATTAGGACAGTGAAAGGAACCTAGGAGAAGATGGGAGCCTGAGCCTCCCACCCCCGCAGTACACAGGTAGGAAGGGGACAGGATCTACTGCCAACTAACGGAGGATCTCATTAATCATGCTAAGCAGGAACACGAGCCGGGCAAAGCTGCCAGAGGTGCCGCATGAGGGAGCAGAGACCTAGAGCGGCCAGCCGGCATGCCAGCGCAACGAGACACTCGTGTCAGGAAAAACCCGAAGAGCGCAGCGTGCCTAGATGGACGGCATTCTGCGGTCACGGGGGCAGCGGTCCCCTCAAGACCCACCCACTCCCCCCAGTCTCCTGTCCCCAGTGACAGGCCCATCACGGTCTCCATGCCCACAGAGACGTCATGCCGCTCCCAGCTTCGTCACGTCACAACACCGCGAGCCGCTACGGCCCGGCCTGTCTCCACGGCAGCGAGGATGGGGGTGGGGGTGGG